TTGTTTTGGAAAAAGATATATTGTATCTTTTATTTATTTCTATATTTTATGCTTTCCTAGTTAGATGAGGATTGTAATTAGGAAACTAGATAGATTTTAGGTATATAATCAATATATGATTATTTAGGCTTGGGGAGCAAGTAACATTCTAATTGATGTGGGTTTCTTGGTTAGCCTATATAAGAGGGGTTAGGCTTACTAGAAAATGATGGTTGAATGATGGTGCATCAATGATGATTTTATTAAGGAGGAAAATCATCCAGTGGGTTATTTTCTTATTTTATAAGAACAATAAAACAATATTTTATTTTGTAGGAACAATAATAAAACAATATTTTGTTTGAGGAGAAGCAATTTAAATTTCCTCATAAACATTGTCTATTTTATTATCGTATTTTGCTAATTATTTTATTTAGTGTTTGAGGGTGAGTTCCCAAATCGGTCCAATGCACACTTCCGTTATAACATATTGGTATCAAGAGCTAGGTTGAGACATGGAAGATTTTGGGAACAAATACAAAGTAAAATTATTTAACGAGAAGACGAGTTTTTCGTTATGGCAAAGTATGGTGAAGATATCAAAATTTGTGGTCGGGACAATGGTTGAAAACACGGTTGGAGGGTTTGTAGTTTTGTCTTTTAAAAAATTACATGTTGTAGGGTTTGTAGTTTTATCCTTTAAAAAAATTACATATTAGAGGCTTTATAATTTTTGCCTCAAAAACCAACGATCGGTTTGATGGTTTTCTTGTGATTTTTCCGGTGCAAAAAATCACTAGTTAGAGTCTCCAAAAAAGGAACGAGAGAAATCACTTCATGGATGGAAGTAGAGGTTTGAGTTCGAGGGAAGGCGTTCAATCACGGGTTGGTCGAGCTGGAAGTCATGTTAGGCTTGAAGGGAGGTTTGTTGGGGTTGCAAGCCCAACAAGATAAATAAGTTTCGTTGGTACATGTGGATGTTTGGTAAGTTGAGTTTAAAGGAAGATTTGTTAGGAAATAACTAAACTTACCAAATACCAACGAGATTTGTTTTTGGAACTGATATATTGTATCTTTTATTTATTTCTATCTTTTATGCTTTTCGAGTTAGATGAGGATTGTAATTAGGAAACTATATACATTTTAGATATATAATCAATTTAGGATTATTTAGGCTTGGGGAGCAAGTAAAATTCTATTTGATGTGGGTTTCTTGGTTAACCTATATAAGAGAGGTTAGGCTTACTAGAAAATAATGATGGTTGAATGATGGTTCTTCAATGATATATTTTATTGAGGGGGAAAATCATCAACAGGGTTATTGTCTTATTTTGTAGGAACTTAATAAAACAATATTTTGTTTGAGGAGAGGAAATCTAAATTTCCTCATAAACATTGTCTCTTTTATTATCGTGTTTTGCTAATTATTTTATATTGTGTTTGATTGTGAGTTCCCAATGTTGGTAAAATACCCATCGCTTCCAATAATAAAACAAAGAAGATGAACGGGGAAAATACTTGATTGATGATATCAATTATACAGTTGTGTCGCAGAACTAAAATCTACTGTATTAGAAGCGAAATATGCCACTACCGGTACAGGTTTTTTGATGACGCACGCCCCTAATGTTAACACAACTCTTCTCGTAATCTGTGTACCTGAACCCAAAGAGTGGAATTACTCAACAACCGTTCAGATCTCAAAAGGTAGGTTTGTGTTTATGTGTTTAGGGTTTCAGAAATAACAAAACAGTATATCTTAATATGGGGTTAAAGAGGGTATATATATGAGTAAACAAGAAAAGGAAATAAAAGAAATATCTTGTCTCATACTTCACGCGCACACGAGCAGCCGAGCCATCGCTCGCAGGATAGCTCGACCCTGCCGCACACACACATGCACCCGAGCTATAGCTCGTCCTTGCCGCAACTTTGTGTGCAACTAAGCTAGGTCATCTATAGCTCGACCTTGTTTTCGTGTGTCGTCACCAAGAGAACTATAGCTCTCTAGGTAGCTCGGTAATAACTTCTTCCGATATGCATTACAATTGTCATAACTCCAAAAATCCTCCACTAATGCAAACAGACCAAAGATCATGAAATCTGAATAGTAAAATGAAATGTTAGGTACTAATGCATTAGTATCCATAAGGTTTGAACTAATGCCTTAGTGACACAAGTATTCAACACCCTTCTAGTGAGTATCCAAAGGTTTGAACTCCAGGAGCGAGGAAGGAACATGTATCACTTACTTCACCTTTAGAGCTTCATCAATTCCGCCACTATTGGCCAACACATTGGGCTCTCATGAATACTTCATAAAGACAACACCACACTCTTCCCTTGAAGGAGGCCACCCTTGGTATTCACGTAGGTGTTCCGATTGTGTAATACTTGCACATTCCCAGCATATCTAAGGTCTTCCCCTGCAGGCTGAAACACATTCATGCACCTTGCGAACCCAAGATTCACCATGCATTTGAATAAGAACATTAATAACGTAAAGTTCAACCCTATCAACTCAACGGTGCGCAAAACTGATGTAGAAAGGAGTGTGATTGCTTGTAAAGGCAAAGTGACACTTTGTCACTACCATTGTTCTGTGATTTCCTTAATTGCACGTGATTTACTTTACTTGGAAGTAGAAGTATTTAACTAAATATATACCCTAAGCTAACAAAAATTATTTCTCAAATTAACAGGCATCAAGCAAATCTACAGTAACATCTAACATAAGAACGCATCTGGCCAACTATGAAGCACGGACACGCCACATAACAGAGGTGTCCGAGTCGACTTGCGTGTTCAACACCGACACGGGTGGGACACGGTACGATACGTGTCCGACACACCAAAATCCGTGTCCCGTTTTTTTTTTTTAAATATGATGCATGGACACGAACCGTGTCACCCCTAGACACGGCCCGTTTTAACGTGGACACGCCATTTTGTATTCCAGCCCAAGTCCCTCAAAGTCTCAAACCCTATTGCTCCTTTCAATCCTCTCTATCTCTCGTCACTCAAACTCACCTCAACCCAAATCGTCGCCACTGACCACCAGTCCACCACTCGTCACCGCCTGACCGTCGTTCAGACTCGTCGCCACCAACCACCGTCGTAAGTCTCATTCTCAGTCATCTCTTTGACTCTTTCTCGAATTTAACGAAACCCCCTTTAATCCTCTATTCTTCTGCCGTCGCTCGACGCCACCGTCCACCGTCACTCGTCGGCCTCGCTTTTCACCGCCGGTGCTCTCAGCCCTCTCAGGTAATCCTCTCATTCTCGTTTTCATTTGAATTAATCCCTTAATTCGCTCATCACTAATTTTGCTTAATTCACGATTTTGCTTAATTCACGATTTTGCTTAAATTGGCTGGTGTTGTTTCACTGTTTCAGTTGTTTGTTGCGTCTGCGTGGGCCTGACCGTCGCACTGTTCATCGCCGTCGCTCGTCACCCGCCATTGCTGGTCATCGCCGTTGCCCTGTTCAGGTAGGCCTCTCGTCCTCTCACCATAGTTTATTACACTATTCAGGTTATTTGTTGTTGGGCTTGTTAATGTTACTTGCTAGATGCTATTCTTGCTACTTGTTTAATTTGATTTGATATAATGATATGAGATGTTTGGGATTTGGATTGAAGTACAAAAATTTGCAAGAATGTCTTCTAGTATTGTAAATGTGCACTGTGTAATTTGATTGTGTTGTTTGAGCTGAACTGGAAATGTTTGATTTGCTGAAAATGTGTTGTTGTCTTGCTGAAATTGTCAGGAATGTCTTCTAGTGGTTCTAGTGCCTCTGGTTCGTGCAATGTCAGTGGTAGTAGTAATTCATCTGAGTCTATGAAAGACCCTTACCCTTTGTGGAAATTTGTTGTTAAGGGTGATAAAATATCGAGTGGTGGAGGAAATTATAATTGGAAATGTAACTTTTGCAGCGAAGTTAAAAATAGTTCATACACTAGAGTGAAAGCTCATTTGCTATGTGAAATAGGGAAAGGGATTCAAACTTGTAGTAAAGTAAATATTGATGACCTTGCTAAACTAAGAAAGCTTCATCGTGAATCTGAGGATTATAGAAAATCTTTGTTACCAAAAGTTCCACCTTTTTCAAATGAACCCATATCTTCTCACACATCAACTGAAACTACATCAGTTAGACTAGGTTCATCTGATAATGTAAAAAATCAGAGGGGATCTTTGTCAACATTGATTGCATGCATGATATGGCTTTGATGGATGCTAAAAATTGGTGGGAAACTTATGGTTCCCAAGTGCCTATGCTTCAAGGTTTGGCTTATAAGCTATTAGGTCAACCTTCTTCCTCTTCTTGTAGTGAAAGGAATTGGAGCACCTATAAGTTTATTCATTCTTGCACTAGAAATAAGCTTACTCCTAAATGTGCTCAAGACTTGGTATACATTCTTAACAACCTTCGATTACTTTCTAGGAGAAGTGAAGAGTACACCAAGGGGAGATCTAAGTTGTGGGATGTGGGTGGGGATGAGCATGACAACCTAGGAGAGGTTGGTATTCTAGAGATGGCCGAGCTCTCACTTGATGAACCCAAGATGGAAAGTATGATTTTTGATGATGTACTTGTTAATGGTGAAGAATGAAACTATTAGTACTTATGCTTATTTTATTTATGATTTGTAAAACTATTATTAGACATGTATTTGGTTTGATGGTTTCTTCCCATGTATACGACTATATTCGTACACTTTATTTATTTACTTTGTTTAAATAGATTTGTGTGTTTTGAGGCTAAATTTTTAGTGTTTTATTGAACAGGTTGTCAAATTCTCGTTTTTACCCATGTCTCCTATTTCAGGATTGCCGTTTTCCCGTGTTCGTATCCGTGCAACATAGCTGGCCAATAGATGCAACATTCATCATCCGACAATAAATCACGATAAATGGGCGTAAACAGTAAGAAAACAATGTCACAAGTCACAAAACAAGATTCTCATATTTACACAGCAAATATTTCAGGGGTTTAAAGCTCAATTAGAAAGACGTGACTAACATTCCAACAACACCATTACCAAATTTCAAATATTAATCAGGCAAGAAAGATTCTTGAGAAAGTACTTTAAACCGAAAATGGCAGATGCAGTTTTTGAAACTATACCTCAAAGGGTATATGACAGTTTTTTAAGACACGAAACACAGACCAAAATCATGCCACCGTCGATCCAACACCCAATTCTGAGAATAGGTGCCAGACAACACTGGCCATAAAAGTTTACGACAAAGAGAACACAAGTCTAGGAAAAACACAAAGCAAGTACTAAAGGAAAACAAGTTTTTATACTCATAACTGCAAAGATAATCTGCCTCAAATCCCTCAGCTAGTTGAAAACCCATTCACTTCTTCTTCAGAGCAGCCTTGGTAACCTTGGCACCGGTTGGGTCCTTCTTCTCAACATTCTTGATGACACCAACGGCAACAGTCTGCCTCATGTCCCTCACGGCAAAACGACCAAGGGGTGGGTACTCTGCGAAAGTCTCCACCACCATAGGCTTGGTGGGAATCATCTTAACCATACCGGCATCACCATTCTTCAAGAACTTAGGCTCCTTCTCAATCTCCTTACCTGAACGCCTGTCGATCTTAGTAACGAGCTCAGCAAACTTAACAGCAATGTGAGATGTGTGGCAGTCCAACACTGGAGCATAACCATTTCCAATTTGTCCAGGATGGTTCATGATGATGACCTGGGCAGTGAAGTTGGCTGCCTCCTTAGCAGGGTCATTCTTGGAGTCAGAAGCAACGAAACCACGCTTGAGATCCTTGACAGCAACATTCTTAACATTGAACCCAACGTTGTCACCGGGGAGAGCCTCTGGAAGAGACTCGTGGTGCATCTCAACTGACTTAACTTCAGTGGTCAGTCCAGTGGGACCGAAGGTAACAAGCATACCAGGCTTCAACACACCAGTCTCAACACGTCCCACTGGCACCGTTCCAATACCTCCAATCTTGTACACATCCTGAAGTGGAAGACGGAGGGGCTTGTCTGAGGGCCTCTTTGGCTCGTTGATCAAGTCAAGAGCCTCAAGAAGGGTTGGTCCTTTGTACCAGTCAAGGTTGGTGGACCTCTCGATCATGTTGTCACCCTCAAATCCGGAGATGGGAACGAATGGGATTTTGTCTGGGTTGTAACCAACCTTCTTGAGGTATGAGGAGACTTCCTTGACGATTTCTTCGTACCTACCCTTTGAGTACTTGGGGGTAGTGGCATCCATCTAATTTTAAAAACAGAGCATTATTAGAATAGAGCAAACAATGTAAACAACTCTATCAGAATACAGACCTTCAGAAGGTAATATAATGCATAACAATGAAACAGTGTTAATTATACCTTGTTACAACAACAGATCATTTGCTTGACCCCAAGGGTGAATGCAAGAAGAGCATGCTCACGGGTCTGACCATCCTTGGAGATACCAGCCTCAAAACCTCCAGTGGTGGAGTCAATAATGAGGATAGCACAATCAGCCTGGGAGGTACCAGTAATCATGTTCTTGATAAAGTCACGATGTCCGGGAGCATCGATGACGGTACAGTAGTACTTGTTGGTCTCAAACTTCCACAAGGCAATATCAATGGTAATACCACGCTCACGCTCAGCCTTAAGTTTGTCGAGCACCCATGCGTACTTGAAGGACCTCTTGTTCATCTCAGCAGCTTCCTTCTCGAATCTCTCGATCACACGCTTGTCAATACCACCAAGCTTGTAGATCAAGTGACCTGTGGTGGTCGATTTTCCAGAGTCGACATGGCCAATGACCACCAAACTAATATGGATCTTTTCCTTACCCATAGTTAAATCTCAAGTCAAACTGCAAACAGAACGACAAAATTCAGCACCAATCTTTTTATTAAACAGAGTCAACCACTCACATATAGCAGATCTAAGATAATAATTACCACCAAATAAGCAAGTTCATGCCACACTTTCATAGATGAACAATTGGAAAAGTGGACATATATGAGAGCAAAAATTGATTACCACATACATTGAACAATTATACCAACAGAGTTCAACCAATCTACAAAAATTATTATGGCAATTAATAAAATACCAAATGTCAGGAACCAGAATTGAACTGGTGACTCGAGGACATTTCATCCTCTGATCTACGAAACTTAGGTATCCTGGCCCGCCTTTCAACTAAACTACAATACCAATTATACAAACCAGCTTATCAAACCATGCTAGTCACTAGCAGCATGCATAGCACAAATCAAAAAGACTCGCTCTATAGCACTAGATTTATTACATTACTGTCATGATTGCTAATTGTACTGTACAAAATAATTTATCAGACCACCAAAGATCAAAATATTCAATTTCAGACCCATTATTACATATAATTGTGATTAATAATAAAATCCTAAAACAGAAGTAAGACCTTATACATGGTACCTATCATCTGTTAAACTATCACTGACTACTACAAAGCTAAATACCGTTTGTTCATCTTATTCAAGCATTAACAATAATAACTCAACCAGATAAGTTTTTCCAAAAAATTAGATCCGTCCAAAATTCATCTCACATGAAACAATTTAACCATCATTTGAGCAACAAATCGCGATAAAAATCACAGTAATATCATAAAATCGAAATCAATTACTAATTTTAAATCGTTATACAACAACATCAATAAAAACGATCAAATTGAAACTAGTCTAATACCAACATACATCAATCAAAGCTCAAATTAGCAAAAGCTTCATTTGTATTATACATGAACAGTAAAAACGATAACAAGCATTCACCAAAACATGCATCAATTGCATATCAACACAACATCACATACAAAAACACTATCAATCAGATCGAATAAAATAACAACAGATCAACTACATTAGCTCAACATGCAACAAAAATCAATCAACAAATTCAGCATAAAACACAAACATTCAAATAAAAAAAATAAAAAATAAATCAACAATTTACCTGATTACCAAATAAAACACAATCAATTCACAACAAATGCAGCAAAAACAGATAGAAGAGAGAGAAAAAAGAGGAGAGAGAGTAGACCTTCAGCGAAAAAACCTAGCCGCAATGAAGGTGGAAGAGAGAGATTTTAGAGGAGAGAATGTAGAAAAACTAGGGTTTAGATTGAGAAAATGACGGATTTTATAGTATGAAGTGGTATTTAAAATGACGAAATTGCCCTCCATTATTTCATTTGTTTTAAAGACAGTGTGCGCATAATTAGGAGTTTTAGGTCAATATGTCCACATAATTAGGTCACTTCACCTAGATTTTCTGATGTGAATCGGGTTATCTTTTGGGTTGACCCGTATTCATTTTAGGAAACCTTGTGGTAGAGGTAAAGTAGGCCCAATAAGATTTTGTGGGCCTGAATTACTATAATGGTGCATGGCATGTTGGTTTGTACTTTTTTTTTAATTAAGTTTTGACTGTAAAGTACTTGAAAAGGATTTTACACATCAAAAGGGTAGTTAACATGTTATGTCACGGATGTACGAGGCGAGCCCATGCCACTTTGAATCTTAGAGGCTAAGTCTTGGATAGCCTTTTTATTTTTTATACAAGAGTACTTCATTTTTTTTTTTTTTATAGTTCATGTGATGCACGATTTAAGGGTAAGTTTATTGTTAGTCTGGATTAGGGTTTGGAGATGAGTTTTATGCAACACTCATACGTTAATATTATCAAAGACTCATGTGAGTCTTGGATTGAGTTTGAAAAATCAAAACTCATATCCAGACTTTGTATGGGGAACAAAATGCTGCAACATTTGGTCATGAGCCAATCAAAATTTTCCACCTCACCTAACAAAGTTAATGCCAGTTCACTTCCAAGATTCCTAACGGCTATTTGCATGTAATTTGAATAATGGAGTGAGTTTTGGAATAATGTGTGAATTTGGAGAAAGTCTTGTATAAATCTTAATAATAAAAAAAAACATTTAAAAGTTAGTGAAAAGCTGATGTGGTAGAGTCTGGGTCTGGGGATAAATTCACCCTTAGTTATTATGACCAGTGGATCATAATGATATATATACTAATATAATAAATATCTAATAATTAAAAAAAAAAACTTAGACTTTGTAAAAAAAAAAAATCTTTATTTCCTCAATTTATGTAAAAGAAATTAGAATAAAAATAGAACTATTATAGAGATCCATAGATCAAAGTAAATATAAAAAATAGTGCATCACGAGTTTAAATCTAGATATATACATATAAATATATGTAACAAAAAAATATTAGATACACATAAATATATGTAAGAAGTGTTATTAAAAAAATAATAATAAAACATTTATTTTTCATTTCAATAGAATCGCCAAATAGAACACAGAAATGTTAGCAAAAATAAAGTTGATATAAAATTAATCTTTACAATTTTATAAAATAAATCAATATATTTACCAGGAAGTGTAAAAATTGAAATTATACTAAATCAAATCTATGCATTGGAATTTTTTCATCATCCCCAATCGCCAGAACAATAGTATTTTGGTAAAATAGAATCATTATTTTGTTGTCCCTAACAACGCGATATTGCTTCTTATTTGCAACAGCTGAAAAGTATTTAATGAAGTAAACTTTTCCTTAAATTAGTTTTGGACGAAAATGTTGGACAAAGTTGGGTTTAATTGAGACATGAACGTAATCACCTTGTAATAAAAAAAAAAAAAATTTAATAAATTTAATAACTTGATTAAGCCACCTAAATAAATTAATCAAAAAACTAAAAAGGTTTATAAAAAAATTTAATAAATGTAAAAATTTATACAAAATAATACCTCCTCGTCTAATAGGACTATATCAAAACTTATTAAGCTATCTTGTTTGTGAAAGTTTAGTAAGTCAAACAGGCGAGAAACTCATACTTTGATTTTCCAATCCTTATTTTTGCTCGAATTTAATTCTTAGACTAAATTAGCTATGCATTAAAAAAAACAAAGGAAAATTTGACATTTGCTACCAGCAAAAGAACCTTGTGTCGCATTTGCTACCTGTTTAATATTTTATTTTACTTTACTACCACCCAAATCCCAAAAATATATATTTCACTACCAGATAACTGTTTCTGTCAATGTTGTTGTTAGTAAGGCATATCCACCGTCCAATCACCTTCACTGCCAGCCACTCTCCTTCCAGCCATCTTCCCTTCCAACCACCCTCCTTCCAGCCCCCTTCCAACCACCCTCATTGCCAGCCCCCCCTCCTCTCCTCGTGCCAACTCCCGGCGCCCAAACTCCACCTTCACACACCAACCACAACAACACCAACTCCACCTTCACCCCTCAACACACCAAGCATTCACTAAAAACCACTTGCACAAACACCAATAATAATCAGCAGCCACCGCAGTGGCGCAACCACAGAGCCGCACAACAATGCCACCAGCCACACCTTACACTCGCAACCACCAATTCGCAGACCCTCGCAACAACCTGCAATAAATCAGCCTAGCCACCCTCGCTTCCAGCAGCAACGAACATCAACAGCCACAACCTACCTCAGGCCATCGGCACAGCAACCGACACCACCATCAATTCCTCTACTCACCACACACAATCAATCACAGCCCGCAACACCACCATCGCCACCAATTTCGCATCTAATCGAAAACTTAGTGCATTGAAAAGCCCTAATTTCAAAGGGTAAGAATTTGGTAGGGCGGCAAGTAGAGTAGGAAAGGGGAGGGGTGGGGTCGCCGACATCGAGAGATTATTTGGGCGCAGGCAGCCGGCACCGGGGGGGGAGGGGTGGCTGACGGGCAATAAGAGTGGCTGGGATATTTTTTTATTTTTAATAAATTAAATCATTGTTTAATAAAATGGGCCCCGCTTAGGATTTCGTTAAGTGGTAGAAAATGCTATCTGCTGTAACTTTTAAGGTAGCAAAATAAAATAAAATATTAAACAGGTGGCAAATGTGACACAAGGTTCTTTCGCTGGTAGCAAATGTCAAAATTTCCAAAAACAATATATATATATATATATATATATATATATATATATATATATATATATATATATATATATATATATATATATATATATATATATATATTGTTTTTCCTTGAATGAAGGTTCTTTTGCATGAAGGCATCTTGAATTTTTCCATCGGTTCCTCCATAATTTCCTTGCATAAGGGTGAGTCCTCAGGGTTCACCATGATCTTTGCCTACTTGGAGCGCGCGGGGCTCAGAGACTGATTGTGGGTAAGGGCTTTGCTGCGCTGGTTGCCAGCGGGGACTTCGCTTGACTCCTTCAAGCTCCATTCTCTATTTAAGTTTCTGGCCTCCAACTCTTTCACTTTCTTCCTCAAGGCTACCAGCTCCTTTTGCTCTGGAGTCAGACTGTATACAGGTGACCTGGTAGGAGTCTGCCCAGCAGATGCTTGTGGACGAGTGGAGCTCGATCCTTCCCAAATGAGTTCAGCACAGCTGTCATGGCAGCCAGTTGATCCTTGCTGCACTGGGACAAGTTCTGCAGTACCTCTGGTATTTGCACTGTCTGGAACTTTCTCGTCGGTGTTTGAGTAATCACCTCCTTGTTCTGGTTGGTGAACGGCATTCCGAATCGAACTGTTTGAGCGGGTCCGATTGGTTTGTGAGCTCCATTTGTGTTTTTGGTAATGCCAGAAGAAGTTCCAACATGGTTTGGGTTATGGGTATTGATCGGAGTTGATTTTGCGATTATTTTTGCGGGATCGGACTTATTTTGTGGAGTTTAGGTACTATTAGTTATTGGTGATTTAATCGCCGAATCTGGCTTTTCCCCCGTAATGGCGGCTTTCCCGACTTCGAACAAGCTTTACAGGTTGAGCTAAGGTGTCGGAACTATTCCCTCCTTCTAGCGCCAATTGTTCTGGGTGTAGTTCCGGAGCCTTGCTTGGGGTCAGGCCTGGATGTCGGTCGAGAGTTACCTGCACAATAACGGTGGTTATGCCCTTGGGGGTGGCTTCGAGGAACCCCCCTCCGATGCTTAAGTTAGTAAGGCTTTTTGTGAATAATAATGGATAAGTGATGAAATGTATGTGTCTAACCTCTTTTTCATTGTACTTGGGTTACTATTTATAGTTAATCTATTCTTTGTGCTATAGGCTGGAGCCTGCTGAGGCCAGCCCTGGTGTTGAGCCCTTAGGAGATTATCCCTGACTTTGAGATGGAGCCCGTGGGAGGTTTTCCCTTGCCTTGCACTGAACTAGCACGAGTGCGCACCCCTCAAGTAATGCTGGGAGCGCGGGGCAGCTCAGCGGGAGCTACCCTATACACTAGGTATACAAGTTGATTTTGGTTAAACTCAACGATTCGGTAAGGAGTCCTTAGATGTCGTGACAATGGAGATAAACGTTATGAAAGCATTGGATGCGACGTTTTATCGAACCAAGAGTAGCTTAGAGCTATTAGCAATTGGATTGCTTATCTTAAAATATTAAGTGATAAGATAAGCCAAAGCATGCTTAATCACTTTTTATTTTTGGGGTCTTGGAATCGTTTTTTTCTCGCCTGAAAGGGACAAATTTCAAATGTGTGGATAAAACGCTTAATAAGGTTGAAAATTTGCATGTATGCTTTAAATTTCAAACTTATTGGTTTTATGAATGGTTTTTCATTGCAAATTCTTTCAATTGTAGAAACATGTCTGCAACTAATACCAACAAGAACATGTGCCCGAAACTCCCAGAGAAGTTGGCATTTTGTCTAAATTTGGTCAACTTCAAGGAATAGGAGGAAGAACTCCGGAAAACTCTACGGAATTGTTCCATGGAGTACATTTTGGATACTCCCATTCCAAGCTTCTACTCGAAAGGAATCATGAGTGATGAAACTCGTGAAGCATGGTCTTCCGATTGCAAGAAAGTCTCACGACTAATGGCTAATTCCATCCTGGAAGAATGGAAGGAAAAGTACTTCTCTTATTTTCCGAACATGTTCCTCCAAGCCCTTGAGGATATTATTAATGTGAGAGTCACCAAGATTCTCTATGGAAACTATGATGGACTTATGTTTGATGTGACTAGGTCACTCTCAAACATGAAGATAAAACCACCAGAAGAGGGTTGCCTTGCCAAGGAGAGGTATCGACTTTGGTCCAGGGTCTACAATACCAAATTGAGACCCGGTATGCCCCTCCAACCTCATGTGCTTAGAA